CAGCCCGTCTTTAAAGTGAAGCTGTGGAAATAAAAACATGAAAATTTCCATTGCTGACTTGGTTTTTTAAGGTGCATGCCCCTAGACTTTTATCTTGAACAAGCAAGTGACTAAAGATGTCTTGACATATTTGACTTGCCTTATTCCAGATCAAGAAGTCACTGGATAGTGAAAACAGTTTTAGGATTTCAGTAAGAATCTGTACCTTAAAATTGAATTTAGCAATGGCAGCTCCCATATTTTTGTAGGTCTCTTTCGAGTGGTCTACACACAACAGCACATTAAACCAGACTCTAGTTTCTTCTTCCTAGCATGCAGCTCTCTCTTTTTCTTCTGAATGGTCTGATGCTGTTTATGGCATAGCTTGCTATAGTGTTTCATATACAGCTGAGGAGAAGGACAGTTTGGAAGCTTGTTTAGATCTAAACACTGTTACGTGCAGGTCACAAAGGCCTAAGGTATTAAAAGAGTGGTTTCAGTGGAGTGATAAGGTATCCTCGGAGGTCACCTGCCACTACCTTATACTTTATAGAATATGCACTTTGACTGTTCCACGCATATGTTTGGAATCACATGGTCACAGCACATTGCATGTATCCGCAGACATTTGTGGTCATTTGTGGACATTTGTGACCAACTGTGGTCATTTTTGCTGTGTTTCCCTGCATTAAACCACTCAGTTGTGAAGGAACCTGTATGTTAGTCAATGTACAGGAAATTGTAGCTTTTATTCAAGCTGTCGTATTAAAATAGATTTCTAGTTTAACTTGAAATCCTCTGTCCGCTTTTGGTCCCTCTGTGCAGTAACAAGGAGGGATCACCCATCCCCCACAGCTCTGGAGTTTTACCGATACTGGGAACTATAACTGAAAAATGTATTTATATATTAAAACCACTTTATCCGCATGGTAAGACTTCAGTCCACCAAGTAAATGTAAACCTTAGTGGAATCAGGGTCTCGTTATTTGAAAGAGGAGTTGGGGGAGGGAGTTGTTAGTACATGGCAGAGTCACTAGCAGATAGGGATGGCAACCTAAACTTGGAGCTTCCCCCTAACATGAGATCTTTGGTGCTGCATGATAGGTCCTCTTTAAGTACTGTAAACCAGCAATACTAATTACCATATCTTTAATAGATCTACAGTATCTGAAAAGCTGAAAAGCCTGTTGTCCAAATCTGAAGCATCAGTTCCAGCTGACTGCCACTGCTTTTTAAACTATGCTTATTTATCTGTAGTGGAGCTAAGAAGACTTCAGAGGGGTCTAGGGGGTTAAACTTACTAAATATGTTGCACAAAGGCAGTATATAATTTTAGGCGCACTATAAAAATTGAAAACCAGAATGTAAAAATAAAACCTCATAGCCCAGCTCTGTGTAACCTGTCAACACAGCAAAAATCTAACAAATCTATAAAGGGGAAAAAAATTGCCTGAAATGATGCTGCTTCAGTCAGTTATAATAACTCCAACAATATACCAAGCTGGTTGTAAATCCAAGAATAAGGCATAAAACCTGAAACATCATGAAAATAATAATAAATTTGTTACACGGCCCAGCCAGAGCATGCCACCAAATTCTCATTTTAACCCGGTCGCTGTCGAATAATCATTTCCCTCTAGAATGTGATTAAATGCCGTTTATTTAAGATATCTCCCTGCGCTTGTTTCTGTTTAACAGTGGAATCTGGGAAAATGTACAAAGGAGAATTACTTGGCTGATTTCCCTTAACTCTTTCAATAAACAAGGGAGAATAGAAGCGTTCAGGCCTCTCTGTTTCTCGCATATAGCTGGTGCTGTGAATCACTCTGCTGCCTTCACCCAACCAAAGAGTTTGGCTACATCATCCTGACACATAATTATCTCCACTCTTCTTAATCATCCGTGCCGCTGCAACTGTGTAATGAAAGCAGCAACAAAGATGACAGAGTAGTGGCAGACTTCTCACCTTATATAGGATGGCCAAAGAGCATTTGTACTACCGACAATGCATCTATATTCAACGAGATTTATACATTTTTGCTTGGAGTCCTGACGGAAAATAAATAAACAAACGATTGCCCTCACTTTGTTTAGTTCTGGCTTGGAGCTCATGTTTTATATACTGCACCAAAGATTTTTAACCCCTACTCCATGTCCACACAGAGAGTGTTCATCTGCAGACCACTGAGGCTGGCCTGCGCTATGGGGCAGCCATTGTGAATATAATGGGCATTAGGAATGCTAGCCAGTGACTGGAGATATAGGACAGACTTTCATGAAATAGTCTACTGTATGGTAAGCATTGACTGTAGGCTGGAGCAGACCCTGAAACATATTGAACGCAAACAAAAATGCTGTGACATTTGAGGAAAGGTAAGATGACACACTTTAACATGTTAAAGTGATTCATCATGAGTTTGTCTTTCCAAGTGTGTTTCAGCTTACGCCATTCAGTGGTTCAACAGGATCCTTTTCACCATGGTTTCTCTATATCATAGCCAAACGATAAGCCGAACTGTGGTTCTAAATTCCAAAAATTTTAGATAAAGTTTCCCCAACCTTTTTCTCTCCTCTCTGCATTTAGAGCTTGTCTAAATCATGTGATGGAGTCATTTGGGTTGCTTTCCTAAAGGCAAATAGGCTGTTCACTTTGCAAGGGAATTTTCCCTTAGCTTAGTGAATGAGGGGCAGGACTGCTAATGTCCATCATCCAATCATGGACAAGCAAAATTATAGTTTTTTATATTTTCCTTGCTCATGATTGATTATTCTTTGCACATTGAATTTTCACCACATTCACTAAGCTAGGGGAAAATTCCCATACAGAAAATTCCCTTTCAAAGTGAACAGCCCATTTTCCTTTAGTAAATATGAATCTTAAAACCACTGCAAAAGGAGCAGACGGTAGAGAACGCTCACAGGAAGTTCACAGCACTAGATCCACACAAAGATGAGATTTCATATGGTCAAACTTTTGTTACAAACAGATAGCATACCAACAGGCAAAATCTGACACACCTACTGATTCAGTTCAGTTGTAGCAAGCCTTAGACACAACCCAATCGCCTACTGTATAAAGGTCATTGGTTTCCTTATACTCAATTGCTATTTTACTGGGTACTAAGCCTAACCCTAAAAATCTATTAATTCGGCACCACTACTATATTGGCAGTCTGGCATTATGAGTGTTAGTGGTCTGGTGTAAGCTCCTGTGGGCTGTTTGACCTCATGTTTAAAACAAGTTTATAGTGTTATAGTCTGGGGACCCACAACAGGACTGAAATAACATTGAGGTACCAGACTTGCCAAAATTTGTTATTGTACAAAATAAATGTGCGGGTTTACTTAATGTACCTTGGCTGCATTTTAGTATTCCAAGTCTGGCCCTGTTCAACATGTATGAACGATAGCTTGTATCCATATTGCCTGTGTGCAGAAAAAAACCCAATCTTTCACTTAGAGCTATGACATCCACTTTACCTACTCAGTGCATAATATCAATGATACATCCTATTATCAGTTAAGGATACAACCTCTCCCCACATATCACATCATTAACAATAATCTTCTGGAGGTTTTTTGTACCATGTCACACTCCCTGCTACATAGCCTTATCTTCTCACATTTCTTCTTACCTCTATTTCTACAGTCTGGGCAAACTGCCACTTGTTTGTTGTAACATTTTAAAATTGTCAGTAAAACAATATGTCAAAAGCAGCAATATCCAACAAAATATTCCAAAAAGCCCCTGATGTCTCTATTCAGTTAAAACAACATAATAGTTTGCAGGTGATTTCGGAATGGAGGTCATTATAATGGTCAAGAACAGCTTAGTATTAAAGCATCCTCAGTACACTCTTAAATTTGATATTTGGATATTAATGTTAATATATAGGCAATGTAAGTACCCAGAAAAATTCCTTGAACAGGTGGTTAGTTTGGATTAGATCAACTGGCACATTCATTACCATGATATGATCTAATATGCATTGTGAGAGTTTTTTGTATCAACATAACATGTTACTGAATGGTGGGGGTATACAAATATATATACATTTAAAATAAATGTAAAAAATATATATATAAAAATAATATAATATAATAT